GTGTGATTGAATTTTTGGTTTAGCATCTTCTCTGTTTGGTTATGGAGGTGTTTGGCCGTGTAGATTGCAGCCAACTTGACCTTTCCAGGCTCTGAGGAAGGTGAAAATCCTCCGAAACGTCAGCTTGTACGTAAATAAAGAAATAAAGTAGCACCTCGTCTTTGCTGAACAGAAGTAGAAAGAATTATTCAATCAATGCCGAGGTTAATAGAAAGTCGCACTTGGGAGTGCTATGAACATAGTTTGTGAAATAAAAATGAATTGGATTGTTATAACTGCTGTCTCCTACCGCTCCTTAGCGAAGTGTGAGCTTTTTACAATTAGTCTTTTTGGTCAATTTTTGAAATGTTGCACAGGCTACGAAAACGCAGGTTGACGCCTATTAGACAAACACAAGGAGGACTGGTAATTGCAAAAGGGATCAAAGGATCTTGGAAGCTCCGCTATTAGTTACCTCTGGCCGCTTTTTTGTATAATTTGTCGCAGATTTAGATATGTACCTTTGAAGGTTTTCGATAAGGTCATTCATGCTGTTTTGTGTCAACGGTAGAAAGGGAAAAGAAGAACTGTTAAATATTATAAGGGTACATCCTTAAAACAACCATTCATTATTTGTGGCAACAGGTTGTCACTTTTTCTGTGTTTGAAAGCAGTATCCCTACTGCGAAGCTTTCTTGCCGTGCGCTATTGCTCGCCACGAAATATATGAAATATCTATGAATGTTTTGCTGCTCCAGTTGATGCAGCTGAGTCCGTGGTTGACGTATTCGGGTGACCTCAACTCGCAGTTAATTCACTGCCAAGATGGGATTTCTTCTATAAATCTCTGGTGTCACAAGTCTTCTTCTTTCTCCATTCTTTGTTTTGCACAAATTACATTTGCAGTGAAATGTTTCTCCTTTCCTTAGTGCATCGTTATTGTCACTCAAAATGCATGCGAGTTTTCTGCCTGCTTTAGAGAATTTAGCCCTGGGATTCATCGCCTTTTGACGGTGTCATTCCGCATTTGAAATTATCTTAGTATCAGACGTGGGAACTGTACGTTGTTTTCTACTTATTTCAATGTAAATCAAAAGACCGACTTTCTATAAACGTCTGCTTAAATAGTCGATAGTGCACCACTCCCATTTTGCCGGGACTATAGCAGTGCTTCTTAGAAAATATGGGAGGTAGAGGAGGTTTCATTATCCTTGCGGCCTAATGAAATTGTCTTTACTTCCTCAGGAAAAATCAGAGGAGTTGACACATAGCCATTTTTCATCCTCGTTTATTCCTCTACTTGCTACCTTGGGATGCACTAGCGTAACCTACTCAATATCTGGCTCGAGAATTTTCAAGAAAACAAGATAGGAAAACCTAAGAAAGGAAACTGTGATTGCAATAAATGTCTCCAGTTACAATCCAGTGTAAACTACTTTCACTGCGTTTACCTAGCAGATGGTCCTCATAGCGTTTCTGAAGTATCGTCAGTAGGGGCATTTTGAATTTCTTCAACACGTAAGGAAAAAATCATATTAAGAAAGCAGAAATCACATTTACGCAAAATCATGCTGTTTAAAAGAAATAGAAGTCATTGAACATGGTAATAACAGATGTGTACAAAACAAGGAACCAATCCAGAAAAATGGAGACCCATTACTCCCATAAAGTTGTCCATTCTTCCATCATCCACACAATTTCCCACTTCCATCATTCAAAGCCTTAAGAACCATCTTTTTCTCTACTAGAATTAAAGGTGATAACGGATGATATATAATTGACATCACTAGAACCGCTCGCCTCCAGTTACTCCATGCTTCAACATCCCATGTAACTCATTTCTTCGGTACATTATCCGAAACTTTTCGCGAGTTCTGATACTCCGATCTGCGACATTAAAATAAGAAGGAAGTTATCATTTTCGCGAAATAATATCAACTATCCAGCAAAAAAAAAGGAACTAAATACGATTTCAGTCCCACTAATGTTAACGATAAACGGTAAAACGCTCTTTACAAGCTTCCAACGGTTATATTAAAACGAATCAATGCCAGATCTCCCTCGACTACTTTTACCTAGATTGAAAGCTTAAAAACCAAGAAACTCAAGAAGCCTGTGTACCTTAAATTTTAACCAATCACATCTGTATGGAGTGGTAACATCTAAAGATATAATCCTCATTTTTCAAATATGGTTCCCATCTTTGTGTTTATAAAATGTTATAATATGCACTATTTTTAGGAACAAGATTTGTTCTACACTTTTAAATTAAGACAGGACGTATCGTTGGAACCCTCTTAGGCTGCTCCATGACCAAGTGCACTAAGAAAACCATTTCTTTCGGAAAACTTTTTGGTGAAGCAAAGCCGTATCCGCAACGGTAGTTCTTTTATGTTGAATTGCACGACGCCTGCGATTAACCAGTAATTACGGTGATGAAGCAGTGGAGCTTATGAATATATGCCTACGTGGTACGTTGAGTGACAGTAACTGACTTGTGTCGTTTTCCTGTTCAGCAATCGCGAGGTTTTTAAACAGCATACATTTATATGTATTCTTTCTTTGATGAGCTTACACGAGGTTGATAATGATGTTTATAATGAGGTTGATAAAGCACATTTACTTCCATAGAAAAACACAATACAATACAACACTGGCTGACGTTTCGGCAGTATCGCCTTCTTCAGAGCCTGGAAGGGTATGCCGATATACAATCTACTAGGCCAAACGCTTCAATAACACTTACAAAAAGACGAAAGACTCTTTGGTAATTACATGATCAACAACTTCTCGAAAAACCCACCGCTTTTTCGTGACTTCCAATGAGGAAGTTTAGAACAGCTGATTATAGTCGCATATGGTTGACGACTGAAACATCCCACATCAAAAATCGATGCGAACATGCGGGATCAGGTCGCGTATAACCTCTCGGCATTCATTCCTGCCATTTATTGTAGGATTTTTGGTACTTATCCAAAAAGCCCCAAAAAGTTTTCGCGCTGGTGTTTTGGACTCCTGTGCAAGGATATTAACTTTTACTTCAAAATCGTCTCCGCTATGCTTTCGTATCCTAAGCGTACCTAGTGGGATGCTTCGTCTTAGTTTTCGTTTGCCATCTAGGTGTTCTTTAATACGGATACACAAAGGTCTGCCCGTTTCGCCAATATATTCATCTCCGCAATTATTACAAGAGATCAGGTATACCGTACCTGAACTCATGCAGTCACCGTCCCTGCCGTAAGGGCAAATTACGCAATTTGTTGTTTCACATAGACGATCATACAAGCGGTTGCGAACTAATTGACGACGTAGAGTAGCCGGTGGTATTTCAACTATCGCTACCGATTCCTCTAGACCTGCCCTTCTTGAGCATCGTTTTATAGCTACGCTTACTTCATCGCTTATAAAAGGCAACATAAACGGGACTTTCTTTTGTCCAAGTGTTTCGCGAGAGCGCGTCGCTCTCCTTCTAAACTTATCTCGTGGGGTTACTGTTTCGTAGCCATTGAAGATGGCTATTTGCCGAACCAAGTCGCGCGATTCTTTCTTTAGTTCCCTGGTAGTGCACACAGAGGTGGCTGTTCGAAACATGTTTCTCACAATCCCCCTCTTTGTGTGTGAAGGGTGGGAAGAGAGGAAATGAACAAGAATGTTCATGTTACCTGGCTTTCGATACCACTTTGTCAGGTATCCGCTACTTGATAGGTTTATTTGAAAGTCCAAAAACGGAAGCAAGTTTTTTCTCGGTTTCTCCGGGGTGAACTTTATGTACTCGGACTGCTCGTTCAATAATTCAAAGCATTTGTCCGTCTCCATCTGCGTAGAGAAGACGACAAAACAATCATCTACATATCTGCAGTAGAGTAGTGGCCGGGGATCGAGAACAGGGGCTTCTATCTTAGACATAAACACAATGGCAAGGCTTGGTGCCAATCGCCAGGACCAGGTATATATATATATATATATGTACTTGATACTTGAACGTCCCGTCATCACTATTTGTGCGGGCGCTAGCATAATCACCACTTTCGGAGATTTGCTGGTTAAAGCATTGTGGTTCCATGGAATAACATAGCAACTTGCCCTTACAGAGTTTGTCTTTCTGTTCAGATTGAGAGGGTGACCCTCGTCGTCACTGGTACTCCTACATCTGGTATAAAACTTGCCAAATGACTGAAGTTTCAACTTAATAGCGGTTTCCTACCCGAAGTATTTCACTATGTTTCAAGCAACTATTTTCATACTATGTTTAAAAGTAATTCGTAAACCAAAACGAATGAAGTTTATTACTTTATCGGCGGACAACCTTTAACAAACGTACTTACTTAGATACTTGGATGGCCCATCGCCAGTTGGAACGTGTTGAATAAAAGCGCATAGCCGAGCCAGGTTTCTCTAAGTAGCGTCCATCTCCGAAACATTAGAAGTAATGCTACTAGGAAGATCCACATTGGAAAGACAAACGGCCCTGGTAAGTCGTTTCGGTTCATCGGGTCTTGAAGAAGACGGGGGAGAGGAAACGCAAGCCAAAAAAATTGCGAAAATATAGTGCAGGCTGGTCAAACAAAAAAGATATTAATCATGTGATTTTTGCCAAAGAAAGTGCAGAATGCAATGAGCAAAACTGTGTGCTCACCTTGGAGCCACGTGGCAATTTCATTCGACTTAAAAATACCTGGTGAGAATTCTGAACGACCTCAGAAGCAGAGGCTAGAGATTTTTTTTTTTGTGAGGTTAATATGGTAAATGAATACTTCGTTTATATTACATCGCCTTTCTACGTGGTTTTGTGCGCGGATGCCACACCACCACGTCGGAAGGCGGTGTAAGGACATAAGCGGAATCTCTCAGCTGGGTGATTGATAGATGCTTCTGTCTCAGCGAATAGGCTGCACGCTCCTCACGTCATCGCTTGCTCTAGGGTGAAGCAGAAGAGAATTGATTAAACTGGAAAAGCAGTCGTGGAATGTACACGATGGATGGATGGGTCGGGGACCGAACAGCGGTCCTCAGTATCGTTTATGAAGTGGGGTGGCGTGTGCACTGTATGGGCGTGGAAAGTGCTGGAATGGCGCTCAATCGATGCGCTTAGTGATCGAGAAGTGCCTAAGGGGTGGCTGCGAATAGCTTGAGACGCAGAGGTATCCGATGCGCATTGGCCAATCAGTAGCTACCATGGCACCGATCGAGGAACACAATCGACACGATCAAATCGATCGATCCGCATGCGTATAGGCAGTTGCGTCTTGTTAGGCGGCACAGAATTAGTGTGGACAGCTTGCGGGAATACATGGTGATCGAGAACATTACATGTGGTACAAAGAGCAGTTTCTACACTCTCCGGTCTATTCAGCAATTGAGTAGCACTTCTGTGGACTAATGTCCACTCGGAACCGCCCACGCCTAAGTATGCGAATTTCTTTGCCTCATCTACCCAGGTGGAAACCAGCCTGATAGAGTTTGTTAATAGTGCTTCCGTTTCACTTATGTCTGCTATTCATACCTCTTGGTGACTGCTTTGTGTACCTGCGTGCCCAAGTGCGATATATAGAATTTATTCAATCCCGTTGAAGTCACTGACGTTGAGCAATTCCACATTTCCATCCGTGAACCCACGTTAGGAGCAATCTATCATGCTCAATCCTTGTCGTCTGATTATCATCTTTGTCATAAGGTGGCACGTCCTATTTCGTTATAAACCCGCCAATAACTCCCGTAAACTTCATGGTGAAGATTTATCCAGACTATTTCGAAAATCTAAAAGACATTTTCCTTATCAACAGATTACAAATTACAATTTACAATTATCCTGACCACTTTAATTCCAGAATTGACCGATTGCGATTACAAAGGTTTCAAATGGTGCATGCTTGTGTAAAGTTGATGAAAATCAATTAAAAGTATGGATTTCACGTAAAGGTGCGCAATGGCAAGGTGTAACCCAAAAATGGTAGTCTTGAGGAAGCACTCCACGCGTCATTGGTAAAGGCAGATGTTTGGCGAAGGAATAATTGTTAACGAGTGGAACAAATTTTTCTTTTTAGCTTCACACGTATGACTGCCATCATTATGTGTTTATACGTCAGTATGATGGCGATTGTGGTGAAGAAATCGACATGTTGCTCTACGGACTGAAAACAGCGTTTATGAAGAGGCCACCAACAGAAGATTATGAATGTTTGCACCCTAGATACGTGGCCTTATCTTTCGTGGCTCCTATTACAGATATGTGAATATGTAGTTAGATATTCAAATACCACTAAAAAGAAACTTCTCAGGCACGCCGGTTTGTGAAAAGGAGTCTCATTTCGCAGCAAAGCCTCAATTATATCGGTTGTCGCGAAACCTCGCCATCTTCACCCATGAAGGCTCTAGAAATGGATATTCGCAACCTAATGTTTACGAACTACCTTAGACATATTGTTAAAAAATAAACTCGCTGCTTTTCATGGAGCGATCTATCGAGGGAATTCACCAGATTCTCCAAGGTAATCTTGGACATTTCTATTTGCATAGAACTTTAAACGTTGATTGTTCAATTAAGCATTTCGTAGAGCAAACAGAAGATGATTTCGAAAAGGTTTCTGGCAGCGAGCAAGATTTGAGGGAGGAATGGGAGAATGCGAAAATCTACTATTTTGTCGTCGAGAAAGTTATGGAGTTTGACAGCCTTCCTTTCATTTGGCTAAGGTAGGTGGTAAATGTTTCATGCCGTTCTTGTCTTGCCACTTTACACCAGTGGAATACTTTTCAGAAAGCTTGTAATTGCTAGTAGAGGCTGTCTCCATACCATTAAGGGCAACACGTTTCATGCTTGACCGCTTTTCCATTACCAAGACTACGGCATTTACATAGCCGACCTTCAGCATTTCTATGTGCTTTAACAACGATGCTATCCATCTACTTCCAGTTTACATTTATCGCTATGTGATGTACAATTGTTTCAGGCTTTGTGAAATGCAATACGATTCGTTAAAAAAAACTATAAAAAAATGATAACCGGTCACGCATGCCTTTGAACGAGTGATCGTGCGGCCGACAATCAGTTCACGTCGGTCGCTATCAGAGGACACGTTCCTCAGCGAGTCTATCTCCTCGGAGGTGAATCGCTGAATCACATGCCGCTAAGTTAGAAAAAAAAGTCGATTTTATGAGACATACTTACTTACTGTGATGCGCGGATGGCCCGTTTTCGCTGACCCGCTACGGTGGTTATACGTTTAAGAAAGGTCGGAATTCGTAGCTACACCAAACGCGCTACTCACTCGACTCAGGATGTTTGCTGCTGATATCTGAAGCGAGATGATTTTCTTATACTGCATTAGCTTAAAGGTCTTCATTTCTATAGACTCTATGTGTTCTTTTAATGCTTTAACTTCACAATGGTCGCAGAAGTGAAGAATTTTTACGCAGTAAGGGTAAGCGCTAGCATTCTTGGTTTCTATTTTCCCGCCTTTAAGTTTTTCTAGCCCATTCAAGCTATCAATTTCGATGGCGAGCGTATTTTTGTCATTTCCTTCAGTAGTAACTCTTTGTTCCTAATTAAGCATCCTAAAACCTGGAGAGAAAGTTGTGGATTGCAGGACAGATGTTCTCCAAAAAGGCCATCTCTGTCGACCCAATCAGTTGTGCATGCTAGTAGTCGGTATGAACTACGGTTTGGTTAAATCTTTTCAGCCATAAATTTTGCGTTACTCGTTGTTTACAGATGGCTTGTTTGTTTACAGTGTTTTGGTTCGTCCTTCGAACAAAAATTATGCGCTACTTTGCCTAGCTGCTCTACGATTGACAAGATTAGGTTTATGAATCAGGCCAGGTAGAGCCTATTTCTCTTGTTCTTCACCTTTAGAATTGGTAGTATTACCACTTTCGTTCCTATAAATTGCTCCAAGACATGAGAATATTTTCCAACATGCATTATAGAACATAATAGAGCTATCTCTCGCCGTGGTTAAACTCTTTAGCTTTCCTGGTGGGAGTTTGCTCCTGAGAAACTGTAGTGTTCCGCGAGTGTTCATTTCTTGAGCAAGGATGAGCATGCTCAGAAGCGATTCAAAATTTCAAGGAAACGTCAAAGGGTTAGTCTCTTTTATAAATCTTTAAAATCTTAGAGAAAACTTACTAACAACTGGCCGAAGCCCCTTCCTTGCCCCATCCCCATCTGTAAGGCAAGCGACTGTCACTGAAGGCAATGTGGGAAGACCATGATACGGGTTCTTGTCGACTCTACTCTAGGATAAAAGTTTTACCAAGCAAGCAACTTATCAGCTTGGCTGCAAATGTACTGGTACTTTCACTTTTGACTCGCGGAGTATGGGTTCCTCAAGCAGGTTCATAGATTGAGTATTAATACCTTTTTTCTTGAATGCTGATTAGTGCCTCATTTACCTCCGTGCGTTGTTTTGATTGCTCAGATGCCACATTTGTCGATTAGCTGAGTTATGACTACCTAACAAGCTTCGATCAGCTGCAAAGCACTCCTTCATGATTCGTGCTTCCGAATACACGCAAGGTTAGCAGTTTGGAAAAGATGACAGAGAAATGGAACTACAAGCCAAGGGAGTGTTTTGAGAACCCCTACGCTTATCACCTTGTTGAATGTCACAATGAGAGGTGCGCTTGGTTTATGTCTGCAGACCTGCAGTGCATTTACTGGTGTTTTAGTGGAATTTTGCTGCACCATTTCAAAACCACCCTGTTGGGGGCTTGCCAATGTTACCTCATCAAATGGGTGAGCGAAAGGCTACAACAGCAGTACCGTAGCTGCACTGGAAGGCTATATAGGGGGTTGTACTGCACGAAGTTTATATCCTCGCAAAAAGAAGAAAGTGGCAAAATCAAACTCCTCCATCTAACGATAACATGATTCAGACGTTTTGTCATTCTTTTGTAATATTCCACAATTTAACCAGAAGAAGCTAAGAAATGGTTAAAGCTAATGCCATCATTAGCTTACCAGACTTCCAAACAAGTAATCCAGGTTAAATTACAACTTCATATTGGATAACAGAAAAACAAAAACTATGTGATATCTACGGCTGCGGTTTCATGTTCGTCGTACCAACAAAAGCCGAAGTTTTCCTTAAAATCATATGTCGTTCAATCACTCCACAAATGTAAATTTCAGTCTGTTCGCAATACACGAAAAGAATTTCTAGTGTAGTGCCGTTCGATTCGATTCTATATGCAAATCCTGATCATTAAACTAATCTTTACTTTTTTCAGGTGGTCCATTGTTTAGTAGGATGGTGCGAACTTGAACTATGAACTAAATACCATGTGCGGCGTTGATTGATTGTTAATATGTTAGACTCCGAAAACGAAAAACTTACTCAAATAGGAGTACTACCAATGAAGGTGAGTTAGAGGTTTGGAAAGTGAGTATGAAGCGTTGCCACGTTCATAAAGATAGCCTCGTTCACAGGCTTGTAGCATATGTACACTGGGCATAGGCGACGACAGCCATCGAAGTCATAACCTATCCACGTGCTCCCATGGATAACTTTCGATACCAGTTGTCAGTTACTAAATGGATAGAAAATCATATCCAGTTCGTGCCCACAAGGACGTCAACTACGTGAACTCCCTACTGTCGTATGACACAATGCATTATAGACAGGAACACCCATGCAGATAAATACATGAAAATACGTGCAGAGGGCCAATATCGGTTCAGAAGAGCACAGACAGCGCGCTAATCAGCAGAATCAACGGATGTCTTAAAACAGTTATAGTCGGTTTCGGTATCTCGTTAACTCCTACCCTCCACCTGAAGACGCGCCATGTGCCCTCGCCGCTAACCGCTAATGAAACGTTTAATTAGGGAGTTCCATGACGGAGCTGCTTTTCAAGCTGATCGAAAAGTATGGTAAAATGCGAGCAGTATAACCTCGAAGCGATTCCTCTACATTGTTTAATAATAGAAAGAGTCAAATGGTCAACAAGATCTGGAAGTTCCACAAGTTATATCTCTTTGCAATGTAGTAAAGGATGATAATTGTCTTTGCAGCCCATGAGCCATTTTTATTCATTGATAGAACAAGAATTAAACGGTTTACTTGTCTACTCTTCTCAATAGAACAAGTACAATCGATTATTATTCTCGTCAGATCAGGAAAACCAATACAATCGATTATTCCTTCGTTGAGATTTGGAGAACCAATACAATAGATTGTTAATCTACGCACATCTGAGCAACTAATACAATCGATTATTAGTTCATTCATATGGCGAATACCACTTCATAAAATGGAGACAGAGCGAACTATGAAAAAAGGGGTACAAAATATCTCGGAAAGAGGCCTCTTTTTTGAAAAATAATGGAATAAAACCAGAGATGCAGAAGCAAGCATTGGCACCTAATTGGCCAACGACAGAGTTGTCGGGACGAAACAGTTGGCTATGTGGTCCAGAGCAAACGGAGTCCATTGTTCCGGGCTCGATGTTGACAAGAACAGACGGGAAACATATTTACTACGGTGTATTTCGCTAGAATCCACTTTAACTCTATACAAGGAAATGACTGTAGGGCAAAAAGTGCTGGGATCCGACAGTGCAATACATGTGATGTCATATATAAGATAAAGCAGGTGAGGTACGTTTTGAAAGACCGCTACTGGAACATTCTATAGCAACAGTGCTTCGAAATTTTTTCGCAGATTTCCTTCCACCGCGGTCATCTCTTCGAAGCGCTGTCTTTCTATGTGCAACTGTTTCAACAGCTGCTCAATGGCAGCCAGGTTCCGACATCATATTCTGGCTTGAAAAACGTCGTTGGGTTTCGGATGTCAGAAAACCATAAAGTGAATCCTGAAAGAGAACAACAGGAACTAATTTGTTAGCTTGGTCTTCTTTTAATTCGGCAATGACAACCGTTCAGAAAAATACGCTCGACTGCTCTGTTAAACGGAGACATGGTTGAGCTTATACCGATTCAGAAATCCGAAGAATCACCTTTCTTCTGTGAATAGTTCACTAAGAAGCCATATAAGTAGCAAGATGTTTCTCACATCTTTGTCGGATGCCCTTGAACGTGATTTAACTGGGCAACATTCGACGGCAAATCAGTATTCCTTCAAGGATTTTGATGATCTGAGTTGCACTTTATATTTAATTTAACTAACTTTAATTTTATTTATATATTATTTATAGGACTTAATGTTTCGATATATTCAACTGCAACGCCACTGTGAGCAAGGCACTCTTCGCCGCATTGGAGGAATTGACACTTTTCTAAACCAAGTACAAGTAGTTTAATCGCGCGTTCTTTGAAGGTCACCAGCTTAACAATTTGGTAGGAATAATTAAGCATCTTTCCACAGCTGACGCGCTAACAGGGAACACGAGATTTCTCTAAAAGATAGGATTCAATATTCACTCTAAAAATACAACCTACTTTACCAAAATGAATGCTTGTTAACTTTCAAAAATGCTCCTCAAGATGTCTCCTAACGTTGTGAGACCTTGAGGAAGAAACACGAGCAAGAAACTGAGTTGCCTTCGAAGCTCTCGATTTATCTTCACCTCAATAACCGGTGCAAAGAGTCGCCTAATCCTTCTAATCTTAAGCCATACTGCGACAAAATCACATTTCTTTAAAATATTCCTTCTACTACGTTATCAGCGGTATCCAGCTACAACAAAAGCATAAAGCCCGCTGTAGAAAGCGCGTTTGCAGGACTCAGTGATTAAGGAGCATCTGTACTAATTTCGACAACTTTTCAAAACCGACCATTGTTTAACGTTAGCATAAATGACCAATATGTTTAGTGATTGGTAAGCTTACACAACATTGTTATGGAATTGTTATTCGGCTCAC